TGAGGGCTGCTGAGAAGCCAAGGACAATGCCACTGGGTTTTGATCCTACTTCATGTTCTGGCTTTGTGGGAGCCTAGCCAGTTTGGATGTCCACCTTCCTAGACCAAGATGGAGTGGGGAGGACTTTGGACTTTCCACAGGGCAGGGAACCCTGACTGCCCCTCAGACTGGAGAGGGAGGGGGAGAGGAGTGGGGGGAGGGGGAGAGGAGAGGGAGGAGGGGGGAAAAGGGAAACGGGAGGAAATGGGAGGTGGGGAGGAGGCAGAAAAAAATTTTTTTTCAATAAAAAATTATATTAAAAAAAGATATTTTTAAGCCAACAAATTTTATAGAACTCTTCCTTTTGACTTACTGAAATATGAGTCGCAGAGAATTGAAATTGTCAGGTTTTATTTTTCATAGAGAAAAAACACAGCTAGTGAGAATACTCCAATGGTCTCTGTGAATTATTGTTCCCAGTTGTGGTTCCGAGTCAGAAGTGTTAATATGGGAAACTCAGTTTGTGCAAATCAGTTCCTTAAGCAGAACCAGTTCTGATGACACCCTTCTACATTCTGGGCATCCCCACTGCTAAGGTGGGAGGTTTGCTGTTGGCTCCAGGGGCAGAAGCCACAGGGCTGCTGAGTCCCCGGCCACAACTCTGAACCCAAAGCCTTGTGCTAAGTGGTGAGACCCTGCTCTGATAGCTCCTCCTGTGGTCTGGATAATTCCTTACAGCTCACACGTGAACTTCCCATGCAGTGCTCTCGGGGAGGCTCTTAGTTCTGGGGTCCTGTCCCCATGAGTGGGCTTAGTGCTCTTGTAAAAGACTCCAGAAAATCCAGCCCTTTCAGCTCTTGGAGTCACACTGGAAGGTACATTTTATGAGGAAGGTTCCTCCCGAGACAGTCTTCCTGGAGCCTTGGTCTTAGACTTCTCAGGCTCCTAAACTATGAGAAAAAAAAATCTTTGTGTCTAAGTTGTCCAGTTTGTGGGATTTGTGTTGTTTTGAGATAGCATTTTGCTATGCAACCCTTGCTAGTTGGGAACTCACTATCTAGACCAGGCTGGCCTCAAAACTCAAATCTCACAGAGATCCACCTGCCTCTGTCTCCGACTCCTGAATGCTGAGATTAAAGTCATGCAGGGCTCTACAGGATGCTCTCCTAAATTAGCAACTTGAATAGACAAGGGTAGCCTATTAGCAAATGAGGGTGAGAGTGGGTGCGATCCTCAGGGTGCAATACTGTGCAGTTTAACAGCAACACAAACACTGAAATGGAAGACCAGCCCTTGGGCTTGGAGAGACAGGAAGAAACAGGAATCGGTGTGGGCGCTGCTGAAAAAGCCTACAATTTCAAGGAGACTATGGGCTAAAGAAACAAGGAAATCTAGGGAGATACTGAGCTAGTGGATTTAGTATTTGTGAATGGGAAGATTTTCTATCTAGTTAATTTTCAACCACAAGAAAAGGAGTCTTCTGCCATGTTCTACCAGCAAGGTTAGTTAAGTGTTCATTTATCCATAGTAAATAACTAGACATTTTTCTTCTACATTGTTTTTTTTTTTTTTTTTTTTTTTTTTTTTTTTTTTTTTTTTTCTCTGTAGTTTTGGAGCTTGTCCTGGAACTAGCTTTGATCTTATGGTCCTCCTTTCTCTACCTCCCAAGTGCTGATATCACAGGACAGATAGAGACACAGTATGACAGAGAGAAAGAATATGACAAGGACATAAAAATATGATCAAGAAGTCAAGAAATGGCTTCTTAGAATAGTTNTTTTTTTTCTTTTTTTTTTTGCCAAAAATCAAGATGAGTTGAGTAACTAACCCTTGAGATAGCAAACCCAAAGCTGGTGACTGGGTAAAGTGTGGTGCTATGGAGACGGTGCCCCGCATCAGCACCCGCGAGCCTCGGGGAACACCAGTCACGATTTATGTGTCATCTCTGGCCATCAAAGGCTGTAGAAATAATCCTGCTGTCCCTAATATGCACACCAGAATGAAAACCCAGAGAAAGATACGGTCAATCACCATGGCAACATACTTCCAGTCATCTTGAATCTGAAAAACAAAAAACGATGAAAGAAAGCAACATGAAGGAGAGGTCATTTTCAGTATTAAATCCTGTTATGGCAGAGAAACCATTTGATGTCATAGACGGGGACTCTTACAGACGTGATCCGAGGAAATCTTTGGTGATGATTAATAATGATTGTCAACTTGGCAGGATCCAGAAACCCTGGGAGATGAGCTGCCGAGCATGCTCGTGAAGGATTATCTAAATTAGGTTAGCCTCTGGGGGTGACTCTGAGGGACTGCCTGGACTGCTAACGACGGAAAGGCCCACCTCAACTGTGGGTGGCACCGCTCCGTGTGCTCGGGCCCTAGACTGAGTAAAGATGAGAGTCAGTGGAGATGTGGCATTCATCTCTCTGCTTCCTGACTGTGGATGCAGCCTGGCAGCTTCTGCCGCCATGCCTTCTCCACACGATGGACCTTCTTCCCCGCAGCCGTGAGTCTGAACAGACATCCCCAAGCTGCTTCTTCCAGGCAGATGGTCACAGCAGTTAAAGAAGTACTGGTACAGTGAACAGCCTCTAATGTTGTGTTTGGAGAAACAGGTGTAAAGTATGGCCATGTTAGCTCCGTTTCAAATGAGAACTTTTGTTTGAGGAAAGCAAGGTAGGGTCTTCATGTCTAAACAACTTAGGTTGGCCTCAAATTATTGACCATCCTGTCACAGCCTCCTGAGGGCTGTGATTACAGGTATGTACCACCACTCAGAAGTATGTATGTGTATATGTATATATGTACATACATGCGTATATACATATAATTATATACATATATATCTCTTATTTTTTTCTGAGTTGAATTCCATGATTAAAGCTTGCGTGCCTCTACGGGAGGATCTGGAGTCTTTGTTAGGACAGCGACTACACTCCAGCATCATCTGACATTGTTTCAAAGTACTCATTCATGTCTGGTTTGGGATACTAATTTCTGTTTAACATCTGTTTCAAAGTGGAGTAAGCATGGCGGGTGAGTCTGACATTTTTCTTTCTCAGCACGCCCCTTCAAAATTGCCCACCTGACCAAATGTCATCCTCATTTGTAAGGCCAGACAGGATAAACAGCAGACGTAATGGCTGACAATGGAATGCAAGGCAGGAGAAAGAGCAAGAATAATTATATATAATGAGCTTCAAATTAGGCTTGACCCAGGAAGGAGAATCTACGGTAATTAAACTCCGAGACAATTCGGAAAGCAAAGAAACTGCAACTGGGTTGAGAGAGAGCCCATGATCTTGAAGCAATAATCACATAATGAAGCAGCAGCGTGTGATTTTATAATTCAATTACACACCCTGAAACGGGGCTGGGAGATGTGGGTTTTATTTCCCCTTTCTGAGCTTGAGTAAATGTGTTCTTTCCGTGGCACCCTGAAAGTCACAGTCATGGTAAACTTAGACTCCTCATGCGCTGTTTGACATGTTACTCTGTGGGAATATCCAAGACTTGTCTGTAAACACTTCAAGTCCGCAGCCCGAGTCTTACCCGCCCCTCTACAGGATACATAACACCACTCCTGCCTCTCCTGTGACTCTGCCAGGCAGCAGGTAGAAAACAGCTGAAGACAAACTGTTTCTACTCCAGCTCTGCGCCTTTCTAGGTGTAAGGATCTGAGTAAGGGTATGGAGAGATGGCTCAGCAGTTAAGAGCACTGGCTGCTCTTCCAGAGGTCCTGGTTTCAATTCCCAGCACCCACATGGCACCTCACAACTGTCTGTAACTATAGTTCCAGGGCATCCAGCACCCTCACACAGACATGCATGCAGGCAAAACACCATTGTACATACATAAGTAAATAAATAAATCTTAAAAAAAAGAATCTGAGTAAATTTCTTCTCGATGTCCTCATGCGAAAAATGGGGATAAAGATAGTGCAATCTCAGGTTGCTTCTGCAGACTCCTTAGTGAATTCTTTTACTATCGATGCTGACTTAAGAAGTGGCCCTTATCCCTGGATAAATCTGAGACTGGATACAATGACAACACGGGCCTAGAGTCCCACTACTGGGGGGAGCTGAGACAGTGCGGTCGTGAGTTCAAGTTCAGCCTGGACTACAAGTGAGATAACTAACCTACCCAAGGACGTCCAGCTGGCCTGAACGTGAGCTGCTGACTCAAGAGTCCAATCCTTTATGAAAAATAAATTGCTCATATTAGAAGAATAAATTTAAAAAAAATTTTAAATAATTTCTCTGTGTGTGTACATATACATGTGTGTGGCTCTGTGTGTGTATGTGTGTCCCCATGCACATGTGTGCGTGGGTATCTGAGGAGGCCAAAGGAAGGTGTTGGATTACCTGAAGTGAGAGTTATGGGCATTGGGGGTCATCCGATGTGGGTACTAGGAACCAAGTTTGAATCCTCCCCAAGAGCAGCAAGTGCTTCTAACTTCTAGGCCATCTCGCCAGCCCCCAAGAGCCTAATTTCCTAACCTCTGTCCCATGCATCGCTGCACAAGGAAGCCGTAATAAAAACCACATATTTACCTCTTTGGCTACATTCTGAGCTTTCATGTTTTCAGCGATATACTTCACACTTTGGATGGCCTCTTTCATGTCTGGTGACAGAGCAGAGAGGGGCAACACGGCGTCGACAGACTCAGAACTGGAGCTTCTCGTGAGATTAGCACTGAAATTTGAGATCTTCACCCTCCGGTGGTGGCAGTAGCTGCATGCCCCGTCTTGGCAGGGGTAGCCTTCCTTGCAGCTTTTGGAGTCTGCGCGGCTGAAGCAGTTCAGGTTTGAGAGCTCAGCACTGTAGAAGGCCCTTGGCTTCTGAGCATCTCCCTCGCTGCTGGCTGGCCGCGTCATGAACATGACCCTGGGGAGCAGGTTTAGGAACACGGCCTTGACCCACGTGGGCATCGTGTGGGTGGTCGGGGTCCTGTAGTGCACGTTGAGCACGAAGACCGTGATGACGATGGACAAGGTGACGAAGATCATCGTGAAGAGGAGGTACTCCCCCATCAGGGGGATGACCAGCGAGGTGGAAGGGATGGTCTCGGTGATCACTAGGAGGAAGACGGTCAGGGAGAGCAGCACGGAGATGCAGAGCGTCACCTTCTCGCCGCAGTCGGAGGGCAGGTAGAAGACCAGCACCGTGAGGCAGGAGATGAGCAGGCAGGGGATGATGAGGTTGATGGTGTAAAACAGCGGCAGGCGGCGGATGTACAGCGAGTAGGTGATGTCTTGGTAGATCTCCTCGCAGCAGTTGTACTTGATCTCGTGTTTGTAGCCCGGGGCTTTGATGATGGCCCACTCGCCGCTTTCCCAGTAGTCCTTGAGGTTCATGGAGGAGCCGATGAGGACCAGGTCGACCTTTGCCTTGTCATAGGACCAGGTGCCGAACTTCATGGTGCAGTTTTGGTAGTCAAATGGGAAGTAGGTCACATCGATTTTGCATGAGCTCTTAAAGATGGCTGGAGGGATCCAAGTCACTTCTCCCGTGTACTTGAGTAGAGCTTTGGTCTTATCGCCAACCTGGAAATCCCCGTCAGCGCTGTGAAGACACAGTGGGGCACACAACTCGCCATCACCACTATATGGCCACTCAGCCTGGCTTCCCACGTGGTTACCAGGACAATGACAAGTAATGACTTGTAAACAGTGGGATATGAGAGCTCAAAGGACCATAAGAGGTCATGGGTCAATTACCCCATTCTCCAGGGGAGATACTGAGGCCTAGGCATCAGTACATCGTCACCACCTCCGGGACCCCCCCATCACACACTCTGCCATGCTGGTCATATGGCCAGTACATTCCACAGTGTACACTTCCCAGGTGGATGGTTATAGAGACTCCTAAGTGCCAAAAATGGGACCCACTGCTGCTCTGAGTTTGTGATGAATGTTATCCTGGAGGTGGGTGTTTCAGCAGCCTTTGGGGATATTAGCAGGCAGGGCCTTGTCAACATCCCTTTCTCAGTCTCTGCGGGAGATACATGTATGGAAGCCCACAGCAAATGGAGAAATGGCTTCATGGATCAGCCACGGGTGCTGATGCTGTAAAACTCACCCTTGCAAGGAAACTCACCTCTTACGCCAGGCCCCAGTTCTACCCCTGCCCCCCTTCCTTCAGTTCTACCCCTGCCCCTTCTTCCTCCAGTTCTTCTACTGCCCCCTTTCCTCCCAATACTGTTCTCCAATAAAAACAAACACGTTTTCTGATTTCATTGAACACACTTTCGGGCTGGAGAGATGGTTTAGTGGTTAAGAGCACTACCTGCTCTTCCAAAGGTCCTGAGTTCAGTTCCTAGCAACCACATGGTGGCTCACAACCATCTGTAATGATGTCTGGTGCCCTCTTCTGGCCTGCAGGCATACATGCAGACAGAATACTGTACACACAATAAATAACTAAATCAAAAAAAAAAAAACACACTTTCAAATAAAACTCAGCGAACCGGTTGGTCTTCACTTCCCTCCCTGTCTGTCTCCACTTACTCCCGTTTCTGCTCTTTGTTAGCCTTATGCACCTCGCTTCTTTTTCTCTAGATAACACACTTTTCTGAGGGTCGTCCTGTTGATGTCTATAAGCTGAGGTCTTCACAGGAGAACTGGTGACACTCAGTTCCCTGCAGAGCTTGGGTTCAGCAATCTATCTCTGTGACCCACGGAAGCCGTCTGATAGCAAGGTCACTTGGTTCTCACAAATGTCCCACCCACTGAAGGATTTCTTCCTTTGTGGATAAAGACATGCTACTGTAGCTCAGGCTAGACTCAAACTCACAATCCTTCTGCTTTAGCCTCCTGAATGCTGGGATTACAAGCATGCACCCCCACTGAAGACTCTTGACCTCTGGAACCAACTCCCTGGGTCTCTTAGCCTGCAACGGTGGGAGGCATCCTTGGGTTTCATGGCCCTTTTGGTGGCCAGGTGAAAATCTGAAAGAGTCAGAATTCTAAAGCTTCAGGATGGCCTTGTGTTGCTATTGGAAAGGCAGCGCTCTGGTGGAGATCATTCCTCCCTGCTGGTCTCTGGCCTTCCACTGGGCACACAGCTGTTGCACATGGCAACTCAGAGCCTGAGCCCCTACCCATGTCTGCTTCAGCTGGCTGGCTTTCCACACAGCTGTTGCACGTGACAACTCAGAGCCCAAGCTACCCATGTCTGCTTCAGCTGGCTGGCTTTCCTTCCTGGGTTTCCAGAACCTTAATCCCTGACGACTCCAGAGGAAAGGAGCAGTACGAGGGAAGAGAGCTCTCCTCAGCCTCCAGGGGAACTCAGACTCAGTACCAGTGCCACCACCCCCAGCCCCAGGGTTCTGTGAGAACTGCACAGAACCTTGAAGACCCTACATAACACAGGGGCCTCCTGAGCAAGGATCAACAAATGTCAGAGAAGGAAGCGACCTACTTCAAAGCTCAGGGCCAAGTCCAGGCATTGGCAAACTGTGACCACAAATCTACCTGTGCTGGCTAGTTTAATATCAACTTGACTTCAGAGAGGAGGGAGCCTCGCTGAGAAAATGTCTCCATAAGATCAGGCTATAAGCAAGCCTGCAGAGTATTTTCTTAGTGATTGACGAGGGAGGGCCCAGGCCGTGGTGGGTGGGGCCACCCCTGGACTGGTAATCCTGGCTTCTCTAGGAAAGCAGACTGAGCAAGCCCTGGAAGCGGTCAAGTAAGTGGCAATTCTCTGCATCAGCTCCTGACTCCAGGTTCCCACCACGAGTGAGCTCCGGTCCTCACCGCTTTTGATGATGGTGTTTGATCATAGCAATAGTAGTAACTCTAACTAAGACACTGCCCTTTCGTATTTCCACCGTTTTTCTTTTCTGTTTGTGTGTTTGTGTTATGCATGAAGCATATGTCTATCTGTGTGTATGTGGTCACACGTGTGGGGTGCCCATGTATGCAGTGCATGTAGAGGCCCGAAATCAATGTCAGGAATTATCCTTGATTGTTCTTTCATCCTAATTCACCGAGGCAGGGTCTCTCAATCAAACCCAGAGCTTACCAAGGGTTGCTCAATCAAACCCAGAGGGACGATGAGGCTGGTCAACTTGCTCTGGAGAGCCTGACTCTCTGTGACCCTAATGAACTCTCTGACCCCTCTGTAACCCTAATGAACAGGCAGAGGCTCGACCCACCGATCCTCATGAATATGCAGAGGGGTGCCCCGCCCTCCCGCTGACATGCTCATGCATATGCAGAAAATTATGTGTGGAAATGGGGCAAGGGTGGGAAAAACCTCCCAACAGCAGAAACTCGGGAAAAACTAAGATTCCTTCAGAAAAATGGGGCACCTCGGATAGCAGAACGAGCCCACTGTCCATGCCTTCAGTGAGGGCTTCAGTGTCCCGTGAACATCAGCACACAAGAGCCCAGAGCTGGAGAACCATGAGAATTGCAGCCAGAGGGATGGCCGCTGACTGGAGGCGGCCCGGGGAGGGGGAAATGGGGTTCCAGCACCCTAGGAGTTAATCTTAGGGTCAGAAACAAAGAAGAAATACCTGCGCGTCAAAGACAAGGATCATATGTGGAAGGTATGGTATAAGCACCCTAGAATCCCAGCACATGGGACACCAAGGCAGGAGAATCATGAGTTTGAAGCCAACCTGGGCTACACAGTGAGACCCTGTCTCAAAAAGACGACCTGATTCAATACTGAAATTTGCATTTGGGAATTTTTAAAAAATGGCAGAGGCCTGGTAATGTGGTTCACCTGGTAAAGATGCCACCAAGTCTGATGACCTGGGATCTGTTCTCAGACCGCTGACCTACATGGTGGAATCCGGGAACTGACTCTTGCAATTGTCCTCTGGGCTCACCCTCTCTCTCCCTTCCTTCTCCCTTTTTTCCCTCCTTCCCTCCCTCTCTCCATCTTTACCTCCTTCCACCCCCAACACAAATAAATAAACATAAAAAAATCAAACTTTACAGTGAGAACGCACAGAGGGTTGCGGAGAAATGAGCCAAGGCTGGGGCCAGTTTTCAGGGCTCTCAGAACTCTCAACACCCCCTCCCCCAAAACTCTCTTTCAGAACCATGCAGAAGAAGTTGCCCATGGCGGATACTGGGATGAATTGAGGCAGGTAAAAATCCGGTGCATAGCCATGCTAAAGAACAAGCCACAGAAAAGAAAATAGTCTAACCTCGGAGCAGCTGTGTGCTTAGCGGTTCCTCGGTGGCTAGCTGGTTGCTAGCTCGGGAACCTAGGACAATCTATGAGTCTTGCCCAGCCCTTCTCTCCTCCCATGAGTATCCTCTTTTAAATAGGGCGAGACGGCCATCTACTCCCATCCCTGCTGCGGAGCTAGTAATGGTGCCACATGCAAGGCCCTCCCCTGCCGTCCCAGATCCCCCTACCTGCCCCCAAAGACTGGGCTCTCCCTGATCCTCCAGCCTTCTACCCCACAGTGCAGCTACCCATGACACATTCTCCTGCCTCCCTGGACCTTCCTGCTGCTGTTCCCCTGTTCCAAATCCCATGTGACCTTCAAGGCCCACTTTAATGACATTTCCTCCCAGCAGCTTCTCTGGTGACCTTTCCCCTCCTCCAGCCACACATCATTCTCTTAGGAATCACTCCGCATCCTGCCGCTCTCTGGCTCATTGCCATCTATGGTACCCAGTACACAACAGATGCCCAGAGCCTGCAGAGGGAAAGGCCAAGGAAGGCTGGCCATTGAGTGGCTGGAGGACACAGAGCCCAGTCTGCCTGACCAGAGGTTGGGACAGCCAGCTCCTTACTTGTTATAAAGCACAATGTCTGGTTTCCAGATCTTCTCCGCGGGGACGCGTATGAACTCCACCCCTTGGTAGTCAGAGGGCTTCCATTTCAGCTTGTAGTCGTTCCAGATCTGGTGGAAGGGGACGGGGAGATAGAAGGTAGTGGAAGGACCAGCCAGGCTTTCTCCTGACACTGCATCATGGCCATCACAGTGACTGGATGGCCGGTCACCTCTGCTTTGGGTCACTGAGCCATTTCCCTGCGGCAAAGTATGTTGGACCAAGGGAGCAACTTGGGGGTAGCAGGACAGACAGCATGGGCTAAGTCTGAAGGTTGCCCCTGCCCTAGGAAGTCAGACCTCACGGCTAGGGGAGTTCAACCCTTGTCAACCAATCAGGAGCCATTCATCAGTGCCTTCTCTGAATACGTTAACCAAGGTTCAGGCTTTGGGACTTCTGACAGCTCCCTACATTAAACCCCTATTCTTTACATACCTTGAGCTCACTCTCCAGGCCAGGCATAGGGCCAGGAGGTGGAGGCAAGCGGGTTATGAGATCAAGGCCAGTTTAAGCTGTACAGGAAGTTCCAGGCCATTCTGGGCTACAATGTCTCAAATGGGACAAGAGGGGGGTTGCCCCGTGAATAAAGCAATGATTGTGTAAGTGTGACAACTGGACCCCCAGCACCCACACAACCTTCCCATCTCACAATCCCAGGGGCTGGAGAAGGAATTCCCAAGGTAACCTGGCTCCCTAGACCAGCAGAATCATCGAGCTCCAGGTTCAGCAAGAGGGCAGCCCCTTTTGTTTCCCATCAGCAAATAAAGCGATTACCACCAGGGGGCAGCAGTACACAGAATCTGCGCGCACGTACTTGCTTCAGCCACAGGTTGGTCTCCATGATCTGGTTTACTTCATCCTAGAAAGTGAGATTGAAGTTGACAGGTGAATGATAGAAATAAGGCTGACTCCAGGCAGGCTCCGGAGATCCCCACGGCCACATCTTGTGGCTCCAGCACTTACCACCTTCACCAGCTGAGACATGGACACCTCAAACTGGATGACAACGGGATGGGACACGTTCGCCACAGGCCGAATGATCTCGTTGTAATCTTCGAACAGGTACTGGAACAGGCGGTGTTCCGCTTCTGAGGCACTGGCCACTGAGGGAGGCATTCCTGTCAGTTCCTGGGGAAATGGTTGCTTACCTCTCTCGGCAAAGACATCCTGCCTACAGATTCCCATCCGCCAGGGCACTCTGCAAACCCGGGCTTCCAGGTTAATGATGCTTTCCAGTTACAAACTGGGGAACTGGGGCTCAGGAGGGACAAGAATTCTACCAGGTCACACACATTCAGGGGCTTAGAAGCCCTGCAAACGTGGAAATCTGTGTAAGCTTAGGCTAGTAACTTAAACTCTCTGAACCTTGTTTTTTTTTTTTCTTTGAATCTACCAAAATAAAGAGTATGCATGAATGCACCTCAAGAATGGGGGTAAAGTGCTTGGTTCAGGGACCTGTGGCAGGCGCTCAAGAACTGTTAGCTTGGTGGGACTCTCTTGACAACCACACCTGTGTGTGTGTGTTACTGCTATTTTCTTAGCTTTCTCTCTCCCTCTCCTCCTCGCTCTTAAATTTAAGGAAAGATTACTTTTTTTCTTCTTTAATTTCTTTTATTACATTACAGGAGAGGGGTGCGTGTGTGTAGGGTTCAGAGGACACCCTTTAAAACTCAGCTCTCTCCTTCCACCATGAGGGTCCTGGAAATCAAACTCAGGACATCAGGCAGGGTGGCGAGTGTCTTTACCAGCTGAACCAGATGTTTTTTCTTAGTAAAACTCTAACCTTTCTTTACATAAGTCACCCAACTGTGCTTTTAACAACAACAACAACAACAATAATAATAATAATGAAAGAACTATTAGAGGCTCAAACCTTTATTGCTACTCCAAGGAAGGTACCCCTGCTGCCCAGGTTGAAAGATGACTCACCCAACCCATGGGCGGGGCGGGGCCACTCAGGGTCTCCTTAGGCCAGACCTGCTTCCCTCTATGTGGAAGACTGCAGCCCCTTCCTCCATTCTTCCACCGTCTGCAGGGGTTTGGTGATGAACGTCTTAGGAGCCAAGGTGCCCACGGGTTTCTGCCAGTGCTGTTCTCCTGTCCTCACTCCAGCTCCTTACCGCGGAGGCTCCTGGGCACCCTTTTGGTTCACAAGCCCACCCCAACTAAGTGAGACATCTTGGCTCAAGCTGTTGGCTGCTTCCTACTTACAGTACTGGGGTGTGGGGGGGTCAGTCGAGGGACAGTCTTTTGGGGAAGTATAACCCACGTTCTTCAGGCCATGATTTGGGTGGGCCCCTCACAGAAGTGCAGACCATAATGATGCAAGCTCCCCCAACCCCGCTTAAATTGCAGGCCCTACCCGCCTTCAGGGGACATTGTAACTGCATTCTGCCTCATCCACCTAGGGTCTCTGGAAGGGCTTCCTCCTAACAGGCTCCTCTCGAGCCTCTGCGATGGACTGCGATGGAGGGAGGAACAATCACGTCGAAGATCTCTAGGCAACGCGGTCATTGTGCAGAACCAGAACCAGAACCAGAACCAGAGCCTTGGTCCAGCTCCAGCTCCAAACAAGTCTCTTCTTTGGTACAGTTTTTCCCACGGTCCACAAAACCAAACGGTGAGCAAGAGGCAGATATTGGAAGCGGGGCTGCGGGTCCCTGCAGCAGGGTGACGTTCGGGACGTTCGGGACAGAGACTCAAACCTCTAACTCCGGCTCAGACCTAGAGGGCCGGCTCTGGGCTCGCCACGCGCCTCCTCTAACTGAGAGGCTTGGGAACAAAGGAAGTACCCAAGGGGCTCAGCGAGGTAGGGACTGGGATGCGCGTGCACTGTCAGAAGCTTGGGACCACGCTGAGACCCAAGGCAGACGGGCGCCTATACTTCTAAGGGGCTGGTGGCCGAAGCGGTGTGGGGAAAGCCGAGGCCAGAGCTGCAGCCTCGCACAGGCGAGCCCCCGGCCCACCGCCCACCCGGGCTCCTGACCCGACCGTTCCCGCGCGTACCTGACAGCATCAGTAGCATCAGCAAAGACAGCGGCGACCAGAGCGGCACAGCGTCCATGTCTGGAGACCTCGCGGACAGGGCGGGATCCACTCGGGTGCTGACCGCCGACGCCCAGCTGCGGGGGGCGCGGGGACCGCGGGGCTCCTCCCGGCTTCGGGTAGCCTGAGCTCCGGTGCACCTGAGCCCCCGAAAGGCACGAAGCCGGGGCAGCTAAACACTGCCGCGGGGCGGGGAGGCTGAGGCGGGAGCTGCACCCGCCGAGGTGGGAGGGGCGTCGGGTCCCTGCCTCGCCCTGAGCAGCCCTGGATCTGGAAACCGCTAGGCAAAGGACCAGTCTGGAGCAGGCACTGTCACCGTGGCAGGATAAAAGGACCAAATCTCTGACCAGGGCTTCCCGGGCACGTGCAGCTCCAAGGACGGCTGGGGGGACCACCACAAGGCCGTGCCGGCTCTAGCGCAACTCAAAAGGAGACTGTGGAAGTTGATGTTCTTAAAGTAACTATTTTCAGTATGATACTGGTGTGTATAATACATACATACAGCATATAGTTAAGGGGAAATAGATGGGCTGGAGTCAAAGCAATATTGGCGATGAGTTATCATGGCCGGGTGATGACACGGGAGGTCTTATATTTTTCTCTTTATTTAGACTATGCTAGGAATGCTCCTTAATAAAACATAGAACAACGCTGGAGGTTCCTGCATTGGAGGGCTTGCCTAGCAAAAGCCCAGGTTTTGATCCCTCGTATAGCAAATAAACACTTTTATAAGAAAGTGAAGGAGAGAGAGAGAGAGAGAGAGAGAGAGAGAGAGAGAGAGAGAGAGAGAGAGAATCTGGCTTTCCACCCTTGTAGACCCTCCTTTGTCTCACTGCCGCCTGCTAGCCTGAGTGTCCCAGGAATAGGCAGTGACAAGGTAGGTGCCCTGGGGTCCCTTGGCCTCTCTGGCCACCCACCGGGGATGGCTTGGAACTCGGAGGCTTCCTTGATGGTTATCAGGGACCTTGTTAGTACGAAAGAGAGATGATGAACATACTAAAGCGCACGGATCTGTCCGCTGAAAATGACTGGATTTTATGGTGTGTAAATTATACTTCAATAAAAGTGTTTCTTTTTAAAAGATTCTCATTTACTGTGTGTGTTTGCGCATGCTCATACATGGGTGCGCGCGCGGGTAAGTGGGCGTGCATACACAAGGAAACCGAAGGACAACTTTTTGGAGTCTGTTCTCTCCTTCCATCTTTACAGAGCTTCCAGGGACAAGATTCAGGTACCCGCACTCACTGAGCTGTCTTACTGGCCCCAGGAAGTTCTTTTTAGAGATGCAGCAGAAAGAAGCTAGTCTCCGAAGGTTACACCCGGTAGGTTTCTATTCAAACAGTAGGCTAGAAGGTTCTGAACTAGAGTGATGGAGGGAAGGTACGGGGTGCCAGGGCTAAGTGTGCAGGGCATGACACACTACAGAACCGTAGCAGAACGTGAGTGAGACACCTTTCATTTGCCCTAGTGGCAGTGATGGTTATGCAAATATATACTTTGTTAAAATTGAAAGGATTATACACAAAGAAGTCAACTTTATGATAATTCTGAAAACAAAACTCTTTAAAATATCCTTCTTCAGGGATAGTCAGGAGAACTGTCTGGCCTTCCAGAGGATCCAGGTTTGATTCCCAGCACTTATATGGTGGCTCATGTCTGTAAGTCCAGTTCCAGGAATTCTAGAGTCCCTTTCTGCCCCCCAGGGGCACCAGGCATGTTCATGGTTCACACAAATGCATGAAGACAAAACATCTTTAAAACTTCAACCATCTTCTCCTTAATTCCAGAAATATCTTGCGTGCCAACAATGGGGCTAGTACTGTGAGATCAGTGTGTGTGACAGAGACAGGCCTGAACCAACTGTGTGTGTGTGTGTGTGTGTGTGTGTGACAGAGACAGACCTGAACCAAGCCTGTGTGTGTGTGTGTGACAGAAACAGGCCTGAACCAGCCGTGTGTATGACAGAAACAGGCCTGAACCAATCGTGTGTGTGTGTGTGTGTGTGTGTGTGTGTGTGACAGAGACAGGCCTGAACCAACCATGATGCGAAGGCAGAAAGCAGCCAGAGTGATGTCCGGAGGAGGACACTCTTTCTAGAGGTGGGGACCAAGGACAGCTACTCAGAGGGAGCACGTGAGTTTGGAGGAAAACAGGAGACACCCATTCATTCAACAAACATTTATTTTTCACCTTCTGTGTGCAGAGCCCTGTCTCAAGCCCCGCCTTGTGGAGCATACACTCCCACGGGCAAGGTATAGGTGACTGGTGTGCCACCAACTAAGAGCCATAGGTACTGATGGGGGCATTCAAGCAGGCTGGAAGTTTAATGCAGTTATGGGAGACACTACTTCAGAATGCATGAGTAGGGAAGGCTTCTACAAGACAAGACAATGGAGCAGAGGATCATGGGAGCAGAGCCCTGACTAGTGCAGCCATGTGAAAAGCTTGGGAAGTAAGAGTCTGAGGATTTGGGCAGGAACCACGGCAGATATAGAGATTCTGACCTGGGGATCTGGAAGTGTGAGGAGATGGAGGAAGAGGCAGGAATCTACTGGGCAGCTGGGGGTGGAGGGAGATGGATGGGAAGCAGGCTGGCGTATGATGGCATGGTACATGGCACAGCAGGTGCTGCTCGGATGACTGACTCCAGGGCCAGACACAGGGAAGGAAGGAGGCCAGGCTGAACGTCCACAGCCTTATCTGCTCCTTCGGGGACTTACTCAAAGGCATCAGAGGGGACAGTGCAGCTAGCCACCCTGTCCTTCTCACGGCCGTGCCTGGTTTCATGGGGCTGACTGCCAGTGGTCATGTCTTTACTTGGGGCCTCATTAGCTGGGGCCCAGAGGAAGCAGTAAACTGCCCACCTGGCTTCTCACATCATCTTACTGTAACCCAGGGGCCCTTGGCAGGCTGGGGAGCCTAGGTGCCCTTGGAAGGTGCGTGGGTCTGAAAGAGGGGAGGAAGGAAGAGCCCCACGGTGCCCAGGATGCACACGAACACAAACACCCACAGGAACAGGCGGTCGACGACCATCGCTACGAATTTCCAGTCCTCGATGACCTGCAGACAGATGGGGGGGAGGGGGACTGGTTACAGGTGCCAAGCACAGAGCACGTCCTCCCTCTGAATCACACCTTCACCTGCTGGCTAGGACCCCACAGGCGATACGGGGCTTGGAATCATACACAGGTGTGCAGCCTCTGAATCCAAGGCTGGCCTCCATCGGGCAAGTGTGGTGCTTTTCCTGGTGTTCTCCAACCCCACCCACCCTACCTGACCAGGGTTGGAGGAGGGAGTAGCAGAACCACGGAACTTGGGCTGGACAGTTGTTTCTCAGTCTCCTTAGATCCCCTTTGAACGCCGCAACCCTGATGCTGCTCAAGACCTCACAGAAAGGGTGCAATATCTGCACACAGCTCAGGCATCCTAATTAGATTTTGGACAACTTGATCCAAGCTAGAGTCTTCCGGGAAGAGGGAATCTCAACTGAAAAAAAAAATGCCTCTATCATATTTGTCTGCAGGCAAGTCTGTAGGGCATTTTCTTGGTTAATTATTGATGTGGGAGGGTCTAGTCCACTGTAGGTGTGGCCACTCCTGGGCAGGTGGTCCTGGGTCACAGAAGAAAGCGGACTGATTTAGTCACGAGGAGCAAGCAAGTGGAGAATGTTTCTTTTCTCTACGGTTCTGCCTCAATTCTCACCTGGAGTTCTAACCTTGGCTTTCCTCAGGATATGTAAGCCAGATTTTCTATACCAAGTTGCTTTTGGTTATGGAGGTTATCACAGCAATATAAACCTAAGATATCAAGAAATCCTCCCCTGTATTTACAATGCCTATAGGCCGTGTGAATGCCTAACACAATGTAAATGCGATAGAAGTAGTCAGTGTCCTGTATCTGGGGGACTTGACAAGGAGGGGAGCACACATGTTGGTACAGACACATTTTCTACCCATTATTTTACCCACCGTCAGAGGAATCCATGGATGCAGAAACAGACCCAAAGACATCACACATGGTGAATTTAAAGCCAAATCTGGTTATGGGTAAAGGAGGTTGTGGCTTAGGGATCATTAGGTTCCTCTTCTTGTTTTTACCCCAAACTGTCTATCTTGGCTGGCTCTGGAGAGAGGGAGATGAGGGCCCACCTGCCTGACAAGAGCTTGCAGAACACCTGGGAGACCTACAGTTTAATGAGTTCCACTCATTTCCAGCAGCACCTGCTGTTTCCTGTGATCAAGGCTCCGCCTCCGCTGGCCTCATCATCTGACTCTCTGGCATTCCCACCCTCTCGCTCTGCACACACTTCGTCTCTTCGGACCCAGCCGTGGGGTGTGACACCAGCAGAAACCTGGCTGGGTTCCACCCACAGGTACCACCATAGATGTGCCTGCCTCCTCGGTGCTCTGAGAGACTCTCAGAGAGTGGTCATGTGACCAGCATCCTGCCCTCCCTCCTCCACTCCAGGCTGAGAGTGTTCAGGTAAGACTCAGGAGTTAGAAACCCACAGCAACGGGCAAGCTGACGTCAGTGACCCAATTTGCCAGGGCTTCATCAACGTTGTGTGTTACACTCCAGGATAATCCTAAATCAGATCAAACTCTACTCCCTCAAACACGGATTGTTCCTGTTCCTAAGGTCGGGAAGGCAAGCAGGCCGCTCCGCACTGTGATATTAGGGTTGGAGGAATTCATTTTGACAGCCTTAGCGTCAAGCACGCTCCCATCTTCCTGTTTTTGTGCTACTTACAGTGACCAGTTAGTCGTTATGGAGAGCAGAAGTGCTGGCGATAAGAAACCATTCCTGGGATAGCTTAGCAGTGGGCCTGCCGTGCGAGGAAAAACAGATCTCTAACTACACAGGAGGAAATCACTTAGTCAGCAAGCTCTCCACAGGCTCAGGGCAGAGCAAGACCCTCAGAGGGGGCCCAGAGTTTCAGGATGGCAGCTATGTGACCAGACAAGTCAGAGGATTATTTATTCTCTGCCTCGGTTTCCCATTAGCGAAATAAGGGCTCTAGTAAAAGCTACTTCCCAGGATTCCTGGGGGAGTTGGGATTATCTGCCCACTCCTACCAGAGCACTGATGTGATTGGCACCACAGGCACACAAGTGGTTATAATCCCACCGAGTTCTGTCTGGCTCCTTCCCTCTCGGGACT